TCTTCTTCTTCTTCTTCTTCTTCTTCTTCTTTTTCTTCTTCTTCTTCGTGACAATCCCTTTTCTTTATCCACTTTTTTGTTATTTTCTTTTTCTACGATATGATTCGATTCTCCCTCATGATTACATAATCCGCCATCTTTCTACCCTTATTTTCTTCTTCTTCTTCTTCTTCTTCTTCTTCTTCTTCTTCTTCTTCTTCTTCGTTGTTTTCTTCTTCTTCTTCGTGACAATCCCTTTATCAACTTTTTTTATTTTCTTTTTTTCTACGATATGATTCGATTCTCCTCATGATTACATAATCCGCCATCTTTCTACCCTTATTTTCTTCTTCTTCTTCTTCTTCTTCTTCTTCTTTTTCTTCTTCTTCTTCTTCTTCTTGACAATCCCTTTTCTTTATCCACTTTTTTGTTATTTTCTTTTTCTACGATATGATTCGATTCTCCCTCATGATTACATAATCCGCCATCTTTCTACCCTTATTTTCTTCTTCTTCTTCTTCTTCTTCTTCTTCTTCTTCTTTGTTTTCTTCTTCTTCTTCGTGACAATCCCTTTATCAACTTTTTTGTTATTTTCTTTTTCTACGATATGATTCGATTCTCCCTCATGATTACATAATCCGCCATCTTTCTACCCTTATTTTCTTCTTCTTCTTCTTCTTCTTCTTCTTCTTTTTCTTCTTCTTCTTCTTCTTCTTGACAATCCCTTTTCTTTATCCACTTTTTTGTTATTTTCTTTTTCTACGATATGATTCGATTCTCCCTCATGATTACATAATCCGCCATCTTTCTACCCTTATTTTCTTCTTCTTCTTCTTCTTCTTCTTCTTCGTGACAATCCCTTTTCTTTATCCACTTTTTTGTTATTTTCTTTTTCTACGGTATGATTCGATTCTCCCTCCTGATTACATAATCCGCCATCTTTCTACCCTTATTTTCTTCTTCTTCTTCTTCTTCTTCTTCTTCTTCTTCTTCTTCTTCTTCTTCTTCTTCTTCGTGACAATCCCTTTTCTTTATCAACTTTTTTGTTATTTTCTTTTTCTACGATATGATTCGATTCTCCCTCATGATTACATAATCCGCCATCTTTCTACCCTTATTTTCTTCTTCTTCTTCTTCTTCTTTGTTTTCTTCTTCTTCTTCTTCTTCTTCTTCTTCGTGACAATCCCTTTATCCACTTTTTTGTTATTTTCTTTTTCTACGATATGATTCGATTCTCCCTCATGATTACATAATCCGCCATCTTTCTACCCTTATTTTCTTCTTCTTCTTCTTCTTCTTCTTCTTCTTCTTCTTCTTCTTCTTCTTCTTTGTTTTCTTCTTCTTCTTCTTCTTCTTCTTCGTGACAATCCCTTTATCAACTTTTTTGTTATTTTCTTTTTCTACGATATGATTCGATTCTCCCTCATGATTACATAATCCGCCATCTTTCTACCCTTATTTTCTTCTTTTTCTTCTTCTTCTTTTTCTTCTTCTTCTTCTTCTTCTTTGTTTTCTTCGTCATCTTCTTCGTTTTCTTTCTTTCTTTTTTTCTCACTCATTTACGTGTCTGCCTCCCTCCCTCTGTTGTCTTCCCCATCTCTATTACCCTCCCCTTCTTAAACCCCTCATTATTTTGGATATTACCGCAAAGCTCTCATTTTCCCTCTTTTTTTCGCATCTCTTTTCTCTCCCCACCCCTCTCATATCATCTGCTTCCTCTTACTTCATCCCTTCGTAATCATTAACACTAAATTCTCATCAATGCTATGTCATTAATTCTATAAAAAATGCTAACAATGTTCGGTTGTGGCGTCTCGGGTTAAAATATCTTTACTCCTATTTTCTTCGAAATATCATGATTCTGTCCCATAAGTATTGTGACATTTACACACATAGATAATAAAACAAAATGTACCAACGATTATGGGACAGAGGTAGTACTGTCCCATAATAGTTGCGACGTTTAAATACACATGCCATATTTTAAATGTACCAACTATTATGGGACAGACACACTTACTGAAAACACGTAACTACATATATGGGCAGGAGTAGGATATCTCGAGGCGGTGTAATGGTTAACAAGACTTGTCTCGCTAAAACAATTACCACTTAGTAGTGAGTTCGATCCTCACTGGGTGCTCTCCTACTTTCGGCCTTGTGCCACATCTAAGCTAATCATAGGGGCACCTCGAGGCGGTGTAATAGTTAGCAAGCTTGTCATGCTAGAACAATTACGACTGAGTAGTGAGTTCGATCCTCACTGGGTGCCCCATACTTTCGGCCTTGTGCCACATCTGAGCTACGCTTGGAAAATCACTATATGGGCAGGAGTGGGGTACCACGAGGCAGTGTAATGGTTGACAAGCTTATCTCGCTGGAACAATTACGACTACGTACAAAATCTCCTACAGAAGATAGCGACGGAGAGCGAGAAGAAAGGACTAAGTATAAACTACAAGAAGACAGAATGCATGGTCATCAGTAAGAGAAAGAGCCCGAAATGCGATTTGCAGGAACATTAGAATCAAGCAGACACAGAAGTTTAAATATCTGGGAAGCGTCTTGACAGAGGACGGTGAATGCCACACCGAGATCTGTAGACCTATTGGGATGGCCAAGGACACATTCCAAAGGCTGGGCAGAGCATTGTGAGACAGGAGGATTTCTTTGGTAACAAAGAAAAGGATACTGAGCTGTTACACGACATCTGTCGTTCTTTACGGCAGCGAATGTTGGACGATTTCCTCAAAGCTGAAGAAGAGACTCAAGGCGACAGAGATGTGGTCCTACAGAAGGATGCTAAGGATATCATGGACCGAGCGTGTGAGCAACGATGAGATCTTAGGTTGCAAACAAGGAGAAGGCTTATACTTAAGATCAAGAAGAGACAGCTGAAGTTTCTAGAATACATAATGAGGAAAGAGGGCCTGGAGAATCTGATACTCACGGGTCGAATAGAGGGAAAGAGATGCAAGGGAAAACAACACGTGACATACCTGGCGGATTTAAATAAATGGATGACAGAACGGGATCTGGGGTAGGAAGCAGAGAGAAGGAACTTGCTGAAAGCTGCAAGAGATAGAGGGAGGTGGAGAGCCATGTTCTCTTACGTCCTGAATGGACATGACATATAAAAAGAGAAAAAGTGACTTCGATCCTCAATGGGTGCCCCTTGCTTTCGGCCTTGTGCCACATCTAAGCTACACTTGGAAAATCACTATATGGGCAGGGGTTACCCAGTCTTCACTTTCCAGTCTCGTGGGTGATGAATTATTCATTTTTTTTTTAAATAAAATTTAAATTTAAAATAAGAATTTAAATTAAATTAATAAATAAAAAAATCGCAATCTTTTTTGTGTGGCCTCGTTCACGAATGCCGTTACACACGACATGACTCTAGGGCCTTTTAAACGTCTATCATCCCAAAGAATACCCGGATGCAGACAAAGGAATTCTAATCGGTGTGTGTATATGTGTGTGTATCTAATTATGTCTGGATGCTTATGTATTATAATCTGATTGTGTTTTTGTTGTGTCACACGTGAGTTTAAGACCATATTCACAAACTTTAAAATAAAAACGGAAAAGAAGGGAAAAAGAGAAAAAATATATATACATGTATTATCAAATGACCGGATGTATTGTAGCGTCTGGTCTTCTCGAACGTAATTTCAATGAAGAAATGAATTGAATAAACACATATATATTTTTTCTTTTATCAATAATTTTGTAGTTTTTAAACTTAATAGTGATTAAATTTGGTTTTTAAAAATTGCCAGTTTTTAATTTTAATATTAAATTTTATCATGTAAATTTATAATTATTAGTTAGTATAAATTATTTTTAATATTACACGTATTTAAAGATATGAATAGCTATTAGAGCAGGATTTCGTTGTCAAGCTTTTGAATCTTTCTATACTTCGTTTTTGATTGGTTATTCTAGCTTTTGTAACAATGTTTCCCCCCAGTGTAGGATCGTTAATTAATCTGAAACTTTTAAAACCATTTATTTTCTTTTCAACATCATCACTTGATAAGACACAGAGTGTGTTGAAACAAAATGGCTATTTTTGTAGTGATTTTATAACATACTTATGTTATAATTTTTTTTATAAAAATAATTATATCTGCTCTACTTTGTATTGAGCACTCTTTTAAGAATAGTAATTGTTGGTTATTGGAATTCATTCCGTGTATACCAATTATATACTTTGATATATATATATATATATATATATATATATATATATATATATATATATATATAATAAACTTGTCAAGTCACGGGAAAAACATTTTCTAGGTCATCCCGTCGACTGCTTAAATCATTTCCTTCTCTCTCATACCTTTTCCCCTCCCTATCTCTCTTTCTCTTCACTCTAAAAAAAAAAAAGAAGACTTATATTGAAATCTCTGTATTTCCCCTCTTATTATTAAAACCTTTTTCCTTTTACTCTTTTCCAACTCCTCCTCTTTTTTTTTTTCTTTTTTCTTTGCCTTGTGTCTGGATAAATTGAACTCCATTCATTTTTGTAAAATATGATCTGAAGAGATGGACGCCTGATTCCATGGAATAAATTATCACCGAAATGGATTTTAAAGGATTCCGTATTCATTATTATATTTGCTCTGTTCTTACATTGAGCTCTCTTTGGATTTATATCCTCCTTGGAATTATCCCTAGTAATTATCAAGGGATATCATATATATATATATATATATATATATATATATATGTGTGTGTGTGTGTGTGTGTGTGTGTGTGTGTGTGTAAAAGGCTCAAACACTAATATTCTATGGTTACAATTTATTACATTGGAATCGTAATCACGATCCAAACATCAGATCTACAAATTCAAAAGCTTTTTGAATTTGTAGGTCTGATGAATTGGATCGTGACTACGATTCCAATGTAATAAATTATAACAATGGAATATTAGTGTTTGAGCCTTTTATATTATATTCTTACTCTGTCCTGAACATTGAGTTCTACCTGCATTCTATCCTCTTGGAAATTTATGTAGATAGATAGATAGATAGATAGATAGATAGATAGATAGATAGATAGATATTTTGATTACCTCCATTGATCTATACCATTCTGTATGTGACACTGAGATCCCCGGAATTTGGTCAAAAAGAAAAACAAGAGAAAGATAAAAAGAAGAGGAAACTGGATGGTAATTGTTGAAATTCGGAAGATGGAGTGAAAGTTTGAGATGAAAATTAAAAACGAGATGCGTTGAAAAATCATGTTTTGAAATAATTCAAAGGAGAATCGAACACACATTTAACTGGTCGAAATTTACTAAAATTGAGCAAAACCAAGACTACCCGTCCTTCCACACTTCCCGTCGATAAGAAAGAGACCATTAAGGTATCCACGAAGATTTCAGATAAAATAAAAACATATGCTGTCAATAAAGGGACCAAGTTGGTCGCCGAAATAACATTTACCATTACTCTGGACAAAATAGCCAGCAAAAAAACAGCTGTTTTGAATCAGCCACCCAGAAGAAAAGTGTCCCCACAAAGATAGAGACCGACTTGACGCGTTCATCATTATAACTTCTGGATACAAGTGATAAGAAAAAAATGAAATATTATTTTGAAGTGACCATGGACAAAAAGGCTGTGTGGTCTGTTGAATGTAAAAAGGAATATGGAAATAATTTTTCTTTCCTTTCCCAATTCTTGAATAGTTTTGTCGATCGAGAAATCACAGTATGGAACAAGCTGATAAAGAAAAATTAATGACTGAAAATCCCTTTTGTTTTCACCACACCAGCGGGATGAAGTTACATGCTGAGAAAGTGGGAGGAGGAAGAGAAGGAAGGGAGAGATTAGTACTGCCTCTATAGAGCTATGGTGCGAGATGAGGCGTTAAAGGAGTTGGAGTTGAGAGGCGGCTTTATTCGTCTCAGTCGAATCTCAGTTAATTTCCTTTTTTTACGTGTTTCATTCTCTTTTGCATTTCTTTCTTAAAAGAATAAAATAGGAAGTTATCATGCAATGTTGCTTCCTATGACCACACTAGCCATATCTATTAAAAGCATCTCCGACATTGACCAGTCCTCACACAAAATATAGCAACTTTTTTTAAACATTTTACATATATATATATATATATATATATATATATATATATATATATATATATAGTTGTAATGACGAAAGTACGCAGGTGTAGAGTTTAAGGAAGGATTATTCGAGGATACAATGTTCGCGTATAGTGTCCTTTTATAGTCCCAATAAACAGAAATAGATATAATTTATTAATGCCCTTATGTTAATGTTAGACTAAATTAGAAATCATTCGAACTGATTATTTTTTAATTTGACGATAAAGGAAATTGTATGACAACGTGGAAAAAGTTTACAGCCCCAAATTTGGAAAAACATTTGAGTAAATGTATTTTATATATGGGCATTTAGAAAATGTTGATACTTAGGGCAGAAGACAACCGATCTCAAACCCTAGTCAACTTCATCTCTACCGGACGCAAGACTCCAGATAAGCCAGAGGTTTGGACAACTTAGAGTGTCCCCACACTACTGCTACTGTAATCCACATCGTTCGCCGAGACCTCTGACCAAAACCTTGTGCTGGCCCTGAAGACCAGAACTTAGAAATTTAAGTTGCCACTAAAACAATCCCAGTGTCATTTGACTATAACAGCAAGTGGGAAGGGTTAAAACTGCTGTCTACAACAAATCATATATAAATCAAATCATTGTTGCTTTTTTAACTAGAGTTAATTCCAAAGGATTCTTGTTTTTTTTATGTAGTTCCCAAATGATCAAACCGTCTTTACTTTAAGTTTGCTTCTTCTCACCCTTTGAAATCAAAGAAAACACAATATGGTAGAGGAATGAATGGCCATGAACAGACACACATTTACTTTGGTTAAAAGACAACCAAACCCAGACACTGGTCAACCCCACCCCTGCTGGAGATTTTGTACTCAAAGACAGTTGAGTGGAGTAGAGTTAAGAGATAAAAGAACAAGAGAGAATCTGCATCATTTGCTGAGACCTCCCGACCAAAGACCTTTTGCCAGACCTGAAAACCAGAATTAGAATGTTAAGCTACTACTAAAACAAGCTGCAGACTCCAAAGGGGATTCCAGTGTCATTTGACTATAACAGCAAGTGGGAAGGGTTAAAACCACTGTCTACAACAAATTATATATACATCAAATCATTGTTGCATTTTCTAATCTGAGTTAATTCTTTATTCTAAAGAATCCTTGTTTGTTTTTGTTTTTTTTGTTTTTTGTTTTGTTTTGCGTGCGTGCGTGCGTGCGTGCGTGCGTGCGTGCGTGCGTGGCTCCACTTGTCAAACCGGCTTCAGTTTGCTTGACCAGTGATGTCTTACCCTCTGAGATCAAACAAAACAACGTGGCAGGAGACGGAATGGTCGAGAAGAAAAAAAAAAGTCAGCTAGGTCGAGTGGAACCGTACATATCATCATGATACCCCAGACAACGAGTTACGCGCTAACGAGTGAAGAGTCAGCTAAATGGTAACCACGGTGGTCTGAAGTAACTTAAGGACCGACAAGTGGTTACATATTTGGTTACCGCTGTCTAGGGCTGATAGTGGCGTTATACGTATCTATCTATCTATATACGAATAGACTGAAATAGATAGATAAATAAGAACATTTCTAGCTAGATAGATAGCTAGCCAGATAGATAGATAGATAGATAGATAAGAATGGACTTAGATATAGAGATATTATAAAGTGGTTTCTCAGTACAAGAAAAGATATTCTAGAATGCTCACAAGAGAAAAAAAAATCGTTTTTTTTTAATATTTGATAATAATTGGCCTCGTCTGCCTTCCGTAGAGAGTAAATATCCGCTCTTTACGCCAAAGGATAAGTCCTACTGTTTTCACGCGTGACGTCTACACACAGTTCAGTATTTTTCATTAAATATCTGACTTTCCCAGAAGAACTATAATAATGAAACGATTGTCAATACTTACGCTGCTGAGATGCATGCAAATTCAGCAGGGTTCCATTTTTACTGGACGAGCAAGCATTAAGAATATGTCATATGACTGTGTATAATAATGAACAGATAAAAACGGCCCTAACAATGGAGGAGGTGACCTATTTAAACATATGGAAGGAAGCAGATGATTCGTGTCTTAACGCCGGCCTACGAAAGTCCTTTGCGCTTTAATACACACGGGAATCAGTAAGTTGGCTTTGACAGACTCTTCAAAATGGCTCACTCCATATTCTGATTTTTTGTAATCATTTATTTTCTAATTTCATATCTTTATCTTTCTTTGTTTTGGTTTTTTTCATTCTTTCTTTATTTTTCTATTTTCTTCATTTCTTTGTTTCTTTCTTTTTTTTACCTTTTTTTTTCTTATATTTCCTTAACTTTCTAAATTTTATTTACCCTCCTTTCCTTGCTTTTTCTTTCTTTATTCTTTCCTTTTTCTATTGTTTATTTATTTCTTTTTTCTTCCTTTTTTTTCTTTCTTTCTTTCTTTGGTTCATATGTACCTCGATATTCATTTTTCTTTCTTTCTATTTCCTTTCATTCATTTCTTCTTTCTTTCGCAGTTTGTTCATATCTACCTCGGCCAATTCGTTCTTTCTTTCTTTTCTCTTTCTTTCTGCTTTCTTTTCTTTCTTTCCTTTCTTCTTTTTTCTCATTTTGTTTATATCTACCTCGATCAATCCTTCCTTCCTTCCTTCCTTTGTTTCCTTCCTTCCTTCTTTCTCAGTTTGTTCATATCTACCTCGGCCAATTCTTTCTTTATTTTTTCTTTTTTTGTTTATATCTACCTCTGTCAATTTTTTCTTTCTTTTTTTTTCTTTCTTTCTTTCTTTCTTTCTTTCTTTCTTTCTTTCTTTCTTTGTCAGTTTGTTCATATCTACGTCGACCAATCCATTCTTTCTTTTTTTTTTTCTTTCTTTTTTTTCTTTCTTTTTCAGTTTCTTTGTCTTCTTCGGTCAATTCTCTTTTTTTCTCTTCGGTTTTTCGTTTTTCTTTTTTAAAGCTTTCTTTTATGTTGTTTTTCTTTCTTTTTTTCTGACTTTTTCTTTCTTGCTTGATACGTTTTTAGAATTTCTTTATTTTCCTCTCTTTTTTTAAATTCCTTTCAATTCTGTTCCTTCTTTTCGGTTAATTTCCTTTTTTTACGTGTTTCATTCTCTTTTGCATTTCTTTCTTAAAAGAATAAAATAGGAAGTTATCATGCAATGTTGCTTCCTATGACCACACTAGCCATATCTATTAAAAAGCATCTCCGACATTGACCAGTCCTCACACAAAATATAGCAACTTTTAAACATTTTACATATATATATATATATATATATATATATATATATATATATATATATATATATATATAGTTGTAATGACGAAAGTACGCAGGTGTAGAGTTTAAAGGAAGGATTATTCGAGGATACAATGTTCGCGTATAGTGTCCTTTTATAGTCCCAATAAACAGAAATAGATATAATTTATTAATGCCCTTATGTTAATGTTAGACTAAATTAGAAATCATTCGAACTGATTATTTTTTAATTTGACTATAAAGGAAATTGTATGACAACGTGGAAAAAGTTTACTTGTGACATGTTTCATCCTTCAGGACTTCATCAGACCAAATGTGCTATGTTAGCACGACTACATATACACACGAACGAGGGATGCTGTAAATTTTAGAATTTTTTTATTTTTTTTTGAATACCTACTTGCAAAAACGATAGAAAGAAAAATTAAAATGAATTCGGCTTTCGGTTGAAATTTATAAAATCTTTCTCTTTTCATTATTACTGTTTCTAGTATTGGTGGCAGTTTCCTTCCTAACCTTCTATTTGTAGTGCTGCGGAATGTCAACATCATGATTATGTCATGAGTTTCTCTTTTTATCAATTTTAGCTGTTATTCTTCTTCTTGATTGGAAACAAAATGACACTTGGGCTTATATTCAGAAAGAGACAGCTGATATTCCTGGGCTATAGAAATAAATAAAGAAGAAAGAGGGCTGGGAGAATATGACATTCACCGGGCATTTTGAACGGAGCGGGCAGTGAGAAACGTCGTGTAATCAGCCTAACGATCTCATGCAAATGTGTTGCAGAAGAGGAACTGCAAAAGGTATTGCTTAGAGCTACAAAAGATTGGAAGTTGCGGAGAGCGATGGTCGGCTACGTCCTGAAGGGACACTGATCATAAAAGAAGAAAGCTTAGACAACATAAACAACTTTGTCGTTCGTGACAGCAAACAATTCTGGGAAAAATCACAATAATGAACATTTATCGGATGCAATATACACGTGAAAATGGATGGAGAACTTATCGGCTGAAACATTGTAATAAAAACAAACCCGAGGCTCTTATACACTATATTAGTATTATCTGAACGTGATTTACATGTCAATCACCAAAACTTATTTATTTTGGTCTGGTTTGGTTTACGACATAAAAACCTTTTAAATGCTATTAAATACCATTCCCAGTGGCTCTCATAGACAATAAGTACGAAGACATAGGTCTGGTTTGCAAGAAAGTCATAAAAGTTAAACATAGGTTTAGCTTACACGCGAGTCAAAAAGTAGATAGAGCTTTGTCTCGCCCGAAAGTCAAAATGTTAGTAACATATTTCGTTTGCACGCGAGTCAAAAAAGTAGATATATTTTTGGCTTGTACTCAAATCAAAAAGATAGACATTGGTTTGGTTTTCAACGAAGTCAAAAAGGTAGACATGGTTTTGGTTTGCGTGTGAGTCAAATTGTTAGACATGCGTTTGGTTTGTATCTAAATCAAAATGTGAAATACAAGTTTCGTTCGCACGTCAATCAAAAACGTAAATATAGGTTCGACTTGCAAGTCAAAAAGGTAGACATGCATTTTGTTTGCAATCAAGTCAAAAAGATAGACATTGGTTTGGTGTGCACGGAGATGAAATTGGTAGACACAAGTTTCGTTTGCACGTGAGTCAAAATGGTAGAGACAACTTTCGTTTCAACACGAGTCAAAAACGTAAACATATGTTTGGCTTTCAAGTAAGTCGAAAAAGGAAGATAGGGGGTTTGATTTACAAGTAAGTCAAAAAGGTAAACGTAAGTTTGATTTGTACATGGATCAAAAAATGTTAGACATAAGTATAGTAAACAGGTAATCGATTTTGGAGGTGGTCTTGGCCCTCTTCTCAGTATGTAAGTTTGAATATTCTTGTCCCTAAGCGACGGGCGGGGTAGATTCTGAGCTAATCACAACACAAGATCACCATAATACTGAATCCTTTGAGAATTGAACTTTGTAAACTTTCAATGGCTGACCAAGATTAACTTGCTAAAAAAGAGCTCTACGTCAGGCGTCCATGATGACTAATTAAATTTGATGAAATTCCAGATTTTGCTCTAACCAGTTCAATAGTGAAACTCGATAAATCTCACATTTTCAATAATAATAATAATACTTTTCAATAATAATAATAATCAAATGTTGATTCATGTTTTATCGGAAAATTTCAGCCATTTTCGGTGAAAAGAAAAATGGAATATGTTTGCAAATTTTGTTTTCAACCTCAGCTTGTAATCGATTTGGACAAAATATCCTACGCTGATCGTGTCTTCGATCGTTTTGTTTGTGCTAAGAATTCGGATGGTTAATATTGGCATTATTGATTTTAGTACATAATCGATATTCGTCGCATGGAGAAAACGAAAAGAAGCAATCGAATAACTTTCTTAAAACCACTGTGGATTATAAACTATTGTAAGATTTCGGATTTTCTGCATTCGATTTAATTTCCTGCAAATCGATACATTATGAAATTTAAAAACGCGTAGCTAAACCATTATTATTATTATTATTATTATTATTATTATTATTATTATTATAGCGTTTTGCCATTGATTTATGTAATACTAGCTGCTCCCAAGTTTTAACCAGAGGCTTCAAGAAACAAAAATGTTTTTTGTATCAAAAGTGCAAACAAATGAGGCACAATGCAGTCAGAAAAAATATTATTATTGTATTTTCAGTCTGCTTGTTTTACGAGCGGCTCCTAAATTTCAACCAGAGACTTAAAGAAACAAAAATGTATTGTTGGTCATTTTTTTTATAAAATATATTCTTAGTCATTTTTCTTTAAAAATGTATTTCGGGTAAATTTACTATAAATAGGTATTGTTGGTAATTTTACTATAAAAATGTATTTTTCAACTTTCATATTCTTTTGTCTTTGTTTGGGGTTTCATTATTTGCCCATAACTGGGACCCTAACAGGCGCTACTACCCTTTATAGTGTGTTGGGTGGGTCTTAACCGAGAAGGTTAGAATTGGTGGAACTAAGGAATTTAGTTCGTCTGAGTACTTTCCATGGAAATAGCGACAGAGCAAGTGAGACGCTTGCGACGTTTCGTCTCTGAGAGAGAGAGAGAGAGAGAGAGAGAGAGAGGTTGTAGGGTAGAACTTAATATGTCACCAGCAAGGACGCGGAGACGCTTTTGGAGACTGTCGAGATTGGAAATTGAGGAATGGACAGCTCCTGTCCAAATATGGCAGCAATAATCCATTTTAAGCCTGATTGTTTTGGTTTGGTTTGGTTTACGACTTATCAACTTGAATGGGTTATTTCATGATGACAAAGTTTTTATTGCTGGTAACATTTTTTTTTCAAAAAATGTATTGCTGGTAATATTTTTTCTACAAAAATATATTTCTGGTAATATTGTTATCAAAAATTGTATTGCTGGTAATATTTTTTTCTTCAAAAATGTATTGCTGGTAATATTTTTTTCTTCAAAAATCTATTGCCGGTAATATCTTTTTCCTTCAAAAATGTATTGCTTGTAATATTTTTTTTTTCAAAAATGTATTCTTGGTAATATTTTTGTTTTTCAGAAATATATATATAATACTGTTTTCAAAAATTATATAGCTGGTAATTTTTTTAATTTTTTTTTTTTTTGAAAATGTATTACAGGAAACTTTTTTTTGAAAAATGTATTGCTGGTAATATTTTTTTCAAAAATCTATTGCTGGTAATATATTTTTCTTCAAAAATGTATTGCTTGTAATATTTTTTTTCAAAAATGTATTGCTGGTAATATTTTTTTCAAAAATCTATTGCTGGTAATATTTTTTTTCTTCAAAAATTTATTGCTGATAAGTTTTTACAAAGTATTTCTGATATTAAAACCTATTTTTGCACTCTAATAGTGCTTTGACCCCAGTTTTTGAAAGTAGTCACTATTTGCCCATGGCTGGGACCCCTAACAGGTGCTACCACCCCGGGTCAGGGTTGACATGGAAATACCAACAATTAAGAGGTGGTTCCACGCTCCTCAAAACCTCCCGATCAGAGGCCTTGCTGTTGGGCGAAGTTTATCGCCTTACCCAAGACGCAGATGTAGTTTATCGTCATACCCAGGACGGATTTTGGGCTTGAACTGGCCCTTGTAAATGTAAAGGAGAGTACGAGAAGTTAGGTACTTACTAGAGAGATACAAGGGATTTTGTCCGCTGGGTTTTCTCCGCTGGGATTTTGTCCTATTACAGTTTACCATTTATTTACCATCCCTACTAGCTTAGTAGTAACTGTCATGGTTTGTGGGCTCTGCTCCAGTGTTATAATTAATAAGTATTTTTTCTCTTTCGTTTTGTATGCATGTGTCAAGCCTGAAAGTTAAGAGGTGCTTGATCATGGAAACACTTTATCATACAAGAAAATCCAACCAGTACTAAAACATTAAAAACTGTTCCGATTGGAAATTATGGGAAACTTACTTCAACATACATGTAATGTAAAAATACACCCCCATGCCGGAAAATTAAAATATATATATATACATAATAAGACTAAAATTCTTTTATTTGGGAAGTTTATTTTTTCCTTTTTATTATTTAAATATGTTGAATTTTAATAGACTTTGGGAAATATATGCTGACAAAATAATTTTAAAATATTAAATTTTAAAGATTTAATTAAACTAAAAAATAGGTTTTTAATCTTTTAAAATTCTTCGACGTTATTGAAACAATATTATTAAGCATTATTAAACATTATTAAATGTTATTGAAACATTATTATTAAATTATAACGGTTTTTAGATAAGTGAGTAATGTCAACTCAGTTAATGCGACGCCTACGGTTTAATAACAATTCTGCTATCAACCTTTAGTTAAATTACGACCACTACAAATATTTGTCAGTAACAACGTTGGTCAGCAAATACGTTTTCCTTTCACGTGATCACAGCTATGTCCAGGGATGTCATTACCCGAAATCTTTACATGTACTCATATAATTGTATAATACTGCCTTCAAATATCTGAATTGCACGATCTCTCGGGATGGTATCTATGAACAAAGAAACTGACGCTCGAATAAGCAAAGCAATCCACTGATGAATTACAAAAGAAAGTCATCTTCAAAACTGAAGAACAACTATGTTTTGTTTTTTTTGTTTTTTTTTGTTTTTTTTTTGTTGTTGTTGTTGTTTTCTTTTGGTTTTTAATCATTTCACCCCAAACAAAGCGGTAATATAAGTACATAAGATCATGGGTCACAGGAAAGTAAAAGTGAAAGTGAAAGTAAAGACTGAGAATAGGGAGGATTAAGGAGAGGGCCAAAGATAAACGGAAATAGAAGATAGCGATTGACGTTGCATTTAAATTTTTGAAGATTGTAGTTATCATGAAAGCAAGAAATCGGAAGGGAGTTAAACAGGTGAGAAGTGCGAGAAAAGAAACTGCCGGAGTAGAAGTGGTGACTGCATTTAGCTATTTCGACAGTAAAACGGTAGGTCCTGGTTGCCTATCCAGTAGCACGCTTAAATTCATGTAGTCGGGGCAGCAGGGAAAAAAGATCGTTGTCATGAAAATATTTGTAGAAAAGAAGTCACGCCATATCATTGACAAAGTGATTGAAGTCGAGATGCCAGGTCAGGATCTATTACGTGACAGATGCTTCTCTGGATTTTGCCATGAATTTTGAGATGCACCGGACCATACATGGCAAAAGTATTTACAAATAAAAATCCATCACTTCTTTAGAAATTGCTTTGTTTATATTAGGATACGAAGCTAAGCAGATATGTTTAGAAAGTCAGAGAAATATTTGCGTTTATAAGCCACTATTCATATAAATATAATTCCAGAATTTGACCAAATAAGTAACTAATAATTTTTTAATCACTTTTCGAGAGAAACGAGTTAACTTCAGCATCCCACCCTGAATTTAATTCATAAAAAATAGCCATTCAAGGAAGACATTTGGGTCAATAACACAAAAAAGAGAGTGTCTAATATCAAGAATATTTAACAACGAAAAACACAAGAAAAAATAATTCCTTTTAATTATATGTGGCAATGTCCACTCTTTGCCTGATGAAGGTCGCGAGACCGGAAACACGTGTAGCAAAATTATGGAAAATAAAGCATAATATATATTTTTTTTTAAAAATCCACATTACTACCAAAAACGTTTGCGGTTTCTCTCTTCTTTTTAATATACACACTTTTCTCTCGTCGGAACTACTATAACCTCTTCCCTTTACATATATATATATATATATATATATATATATATATATATATATATATATATATATATATATATAGTTGTAATGACGAAAGTACGCAGGTGTAGAGTTTAAGGAAGGATTATTCAACTGAGGATACAATGTTCGCGTCTAGTGTTGAATTGTTCACCTATATTTCATCTGATCCATTATTGTACATAATTAGGTTACAATAACATTTGTATTTTATATGAATACTACCTTACGAAAATTGAGATGTGGTATAGATTCTAATCACCTGAAGAAGCCTACAACAGCCGAAACGTCGTGAATAGGACAATAAAGATGAGGATAATAATCCAAACAATGTAAATAGTCTATTATGTCTATTATGACATGTCTCTCATTTGTATTTAGATATAATTAATTTATTTTCCATGTTTCTAATTGAAATGTTCACCTGTACTGCATCTGATCCATTATTGTAGATAATTAGGTTACAATAAAATATGTATTTTATATGAATACTATACATTATGAAAATTGAGATTTAGTAGAATGGGGACCCTGTATCATAGATTCGAGGGGCCATGAGGGTCTTGCATCGGCCCTAACTGGAAGTAGACTCAATGTATTTATTTAAAACTAATTGATAGTTGTCGTTTGGCATATTTTGCAAGTTTTGGGGTTGCCGATATGAACGAAAATAATAAAATTCCGACTGAAATTTCGGTTTTATGTTATTTGAATGTCGCTTTGCCCCCCCCGAGATATACGGTACCATTTACGATGGCTTTAGTTTATTGAATTGCTTGCAAACCATCGCTTTTACTGAACATTTTAGAATATACGACTGGCTGATATCCGAACAAGCTATCTAATCCCTGTTGCAGACACCTGCTCAGGTACATTTGTATTAGTTCGCTACAAACAGAGCTCGCCTGTTGTTCGTTCTGCAACTACGCTGAATGTGCCTTAATTACAGTTTCTGGAGGAAAGAGAGAGAGCGCGTGATGAAGACTTTGAACAACGCCAATTTGCCCAAACCTTAGGTGACTTGTGACTTCGTAGTACGCCTATCCAATTCCACTTACGAGGTTTGGGTCGACTTGGAGTATGGGTTGTCCGGTCAATATTATCAAAAAGTCACTTGAGTAATCGAGCATGGTAAGAATCGAACACGGAACTCATGGTCTTTTGGTTCGAAGCTCTCGGTTAGGCGCCCATATTTAAAAATTTTTTTGACTTTCCGGCGTGGTGTAATGGTTAGAAAGCTTGTCTCGCTTGACCAATTGCGGCTGAAGAGTGAGTTCGATCCTCGCTTTTTTCATACTATCAGCCTTCATCTAAAATACGCTTTTCAGTGACTTTTTCTATTTCTGACTTCGGTTTTCGATTACTGAAACTTGCTATTGAAATAGAATTGAAATAATAGGATTTATAATATTGAAAAAATATTGAATTGAAAGATTTAATAATCTGTTGCTTTTTTTTCTCATTTTACTTTGTTTTATTGATTCGTTGTGCGGTATGATGTAATGGGTATCGGCTGGGTACGAGAAATCGCAGAGCCGAGTTCGAATTCCGGTGTGCTTGAACTGGTTGGTGGTTTGAGAAGGGTGCTTGAACAGGTTGGTGGTTTCAGAGGGGTGCTTGAACTGGTTGGTAGTTTCAGAGGGGTGCTTGAACTGGATGGTGGTTTGAGAGGGGTACGAGAACTGGTTGATAGTTTAGAAAGAATGAGAGAAAAGTGTAGAACGACAATAAACATGTGAGACATGGAATATGCGAAATAAAAACAGGTAAAAATGGAGGTGATAGATGAAGAGTGGCGAAGCAGAAAGAGAGGAAAAGAAGAAAGAGAGGAAAAAAGACAGAGGGGGCGAATAACAAGAAAAAAGAGCGAATAAAGAATGGAGAAAAGAGAGAGGGAGAAGAAAAAGAAGAGCGAAGAAAGTGGGGAGAAAAGGAGGAAGAGAAGAAAGAGGGGCAAAAATGAAAAGAAGAAGCAAGATAGAGAAAGAGAGGAAGAGAAGAAACAGGAATGAAAGAGAAGAAACGGAGGGAAAGAGAGGAGGTAAAGAAATAGGGAAGAAAGATAGGGGAAACAGAAAAAAAGAAGCAAGGGGAGAAAAAGAGGAGGTGAAGAAAGAAAAAAAGAGAGGCGAAAAAAGATGGAAGAAACAAGGAAGAAAGAGAAAAAGAAAAACGTGGAAGAGAAGAAGAAAAAAGAAAGATTGAGGGGAAGATATTGCATCTGGTAGAGAGGGTGGGGTAAAGAGAAGAGGGAGAGGGAAACAAAGCGAGAAAGAGAAAAGAATAATATCAAAATGTAAAGAGGGCAGCTATACGCTGCCCGCCTTGGGCTGTGTAAAATTTGTGGTTGCATCTTCCAAAAAGTAAGATGCTCTCCTGCCGACACTCAATTCCCTGGACGACACTTACTCTCCCTGCTCCATACTCTCCACTGCCTGTCACTCCGTTTTCATCGACGCATTCGCCATCTTTAACTTCCCCGCCCCGACAAGACACCAAAGCAAACACGCGGGCAAATGAAATCGCCAGAGAGAAAATACAACAAAATAAAAACACACTGGAGTAAAGAACGCTACTGAAGAGCGTGAATAAAACAAAAAAAAAAAGAAAAGAGAAAATGTTGGGGTTGGGGGTGACAAAAATTAGGAAAAAAAGACAGAAAAAAAAAGGAAAAGTAAATATTCATTTCGGTTATAAAATTAGTTTTAAGCTTTAATATTCTTTTTAAAATAATCCATAAAAACATTATCGTAAGTGAAATAACATTGTTTACACTGTTTTCTTCATCTTTGTTGCCATATTCACAAAGTTTCGGATGTTGTAGGTTCCGGTCTTCTTCGGGATCAGTCTATATTTTTGAGATGAGGTATGGTAAACCGGCGTGAATATGATAATAGAGGACAACAGTCCGAACAATGTAAATAGTGTAAATAGTTACAACATTCCATCTCAGATGTATAGAAAGATCCTGAAGAAGGCCGGAGCCTGCAATGGCCGAAACGCCGTGAATATGACTATAAAGAAGAGGACAATAGTCCGAAAAATGTAAATCGTGTAGATAGTTAAAATATCTCATTTCAGAAATATAGACAGATCCTGAAGAAGGCCAGAGCCTGCAACGGCCGAAACGTCGTGAATATGACAATAAAGGTGGGAACAACATTCCGAACAATGCAAATAGTGTAAATAGTTACAATATCTCATCTGACAAATAGAGAGAGATACTGAAGAAGGACGGATAATTATGACAGATAAAATTATAAAAATTTGCTGAATTACTATTCTCTCTCTCTCTGTATATATATATATATATATATATATATATATATATATATATATATATATATATACCTCGGGTTATGTCGTTCTCGATTATACGTCGTTTGTCAAAGAAATATATGTACAGAAAATAAAAAAATCAAGTTTAAGTCATTTTATTCGACTTTAGGTCTGTCCGCCACAAATATCACTAGAAAGGCGTTAATCGTCTTACTGTACATGAAATAAAAATAAAAGTATATAAAATCATATTAAAATACGTACATTTATAGTAAATATTAATATAATCATCATAAATCCTAAAGAACGAAATATGAAAACATTTGTGACTATGTTGTCTTATTTAGCGGTCTTTAAGAGTTCAATATTGGCGTTTTCCACGGTTGTTCCAGTATCTGCCGACTGGCGTCGCTGACTGTGCCAGTCGTGATTCCCGCGAAATTGAAACCCAGTTTTGTTTAGGTTACGCACGGTGTACGTCTGCTTATCGCTTACTCTCTCATTCTCATTCATTTGTGACTTTATATTTTGCCCGAACGGTTCCTAATGAAATTCCTAGTGCAAATGCTAAACGTCATGCTATAACGCAGTCAGTCGTTCACTTTCTGAGCGACTGCACGGTTCAACTCTTTCCTACGGGCGGAGGAACCCGAAGGAGGCTACGCCGAAGGGCGGAGTCTCCTTCGGGAGAAAGTTAAACCGGCCCTGAACCTGTTTATACGGGTTCAAACGGGCTATTTTTTGGCCGAGCCTAATGGCTCGGGAATGCCCACGTTAAAAAGGCCTTGTGCCACATGACACCCTCGTGGGGGGGTGACTGAATATTGTCATGCTATAACGCTGGACGATAAACTTACTATGATAAAACGCCATGAAAAAGTGAAATGGTTACATCGATTACTCGATCTTTTGGAATAAGTCGGACAGCTGTATCGACGATTGTTCACAATAAGGATAAGATTTTGGTACATATCAAATCTGATGCCTCAGGGATGAAGAATACTGTTTTCAATAAGAAAAGAGGAAAAATCTTTTGAAGAGATGGAACAACTTCTTTCTCTTTAGATTGATAGGTTGAATCATCTTCGTCCTGCTATTAATAAAGAAATCATTCAAGCAAAAGCGTTGTCTTTGAGGACCTGAACAAAAAATACTCAAATGAGAAAGATGTAGAGCTTAAAGCAAATCAAGTCTGATTTATGAGATTTAAAGAACAAAGTTATCACTCTATGAAGAAGCAAGGTGAAAGTGCATCAGCTGATGAACAAGCAGTAGCCGATTTTCCTAAAGCATCGACTAAGATCATCATAGAAAAATGCAATGTTTGGGGGGGGGCTTATTTACAGTTTATAGTGTGCTTATTTCGACTTACGTCGTTTTTCGACAAGTCGTAAATATCTGGAACCAATTAAAGACGTAGGTGAGGTACCCCTATATATATATATATATATATATATATATATATATATATATATATATATGCATGTGTATATATATATATATATATATATATATATATATATATATATATATATATATATATCAAGTTTTTAATATTTTTCATTGCTTGAAACATATATATATATATGTAAAGTGAATGACAATATATATATATATATATATATATATATGTTTTGTATATATATGTCATGTAGATAACAACATATATATATATATATATATGTTTTAAACAATGAAAAATATTAAAAAAATAAAATTTTCAGACACACTGAGTTTGTATATTAATATTTTTTTTTGTTTTATTAGTTTAATTAGCTTCCTCAACTAGTTTCGGCCAGCATGGCCATCATCAGGAGAAAAGAAATCCCTGCTGGTTAGTAGTAGTTAACTACAGGAGTGAATGACTGTCTCTGAAGAAAGTGAACTTTATCTCTAGTTTTCATTTGTTTTTTATGGTCACTCCTTGTGTTGATTAAACGGCTTCTTTTAAGTTGTTTTTTTTTTGTTTTGTTTTGTTTTGTTTTTTTGTGTTTTTTTTAAGATAGAAGATTGGAGATTCCTGACTCACAGAATTCCTTCTTGGTCATTTTGACAGTTTTATTGATGCTGGGAATGTGATGTGTGTGTTAAGTGTATGTTAGCTTTCAGTTTTTGGGAGTGTGTGTGATGTGCATGTGTATATATTTCTGTGTGTGTGTAAGTGTCAGACCTCAACATAATAAAATGTCTCTCTAGTTTCGGTGGACTGATTTAAAATCCAACAACATCAAACGTGGGTGGTGTAATGGAATTACACCACCCGCACACCCAAGCTTATAACACCTAGTATTTCTCTGTGTGTGTGAAAGCATGCGTGTCTGTATTTCTGTGTGCATGTATGGGTGTGTATGTATGTGCATAAGTATGTGTGTATGTGTATTTGTGCGAGTATGTCTTTATGTGTGTGTATGTATGTATGTATGTGTGATTATGTGTTTATATGTATGTGTGTATGTTTGTGTATATTTGTACATGTATGTGTGTGTATGTGTGTGTGTGTGTGTGTGTGTGTGTGTGTGTGTGTGTGTGTACGTGTGTGCCGCGCAGTTGGTATCCACAGACAAAACAGACAAGCCCTGACTTGCGATAGAGTTAAGTTCCGAAAATAAGTGCCTAATGCACTTTTAAGTGTACTTGAGAGATAGTAACTTAAGACCCCATTCTTAAATGCTTTCTCTCTTAAAATAAGTTTAAAATAAATTAACACAAGTGCTAATTAATTGAAAGGGAAGCATACTTCATCGTATGCAATTAAATGAAATAAGTTCGTTTCCGTTCATATAATGGCAAAAGCAAATCATTATTCGCTGTCAGATGAAACAAGCATTTCACCAGGTTCATCAAAGTCTCCTTTGCCATAGTAATGTTGAACAATAGATACCCCTTGGCAAAAAATATTTAATCATAAATATCTAATCGACTGTCATAAGATTTATTTGATTAAAAACAAGAATTGGATAAAAACGTCAGATGATTTTTTTAATCGAGTTTACCCTAAGCAAGGCAATAAAGCCACTAAGATACAAGTGGTTGCTGAGTGTAGAAGAATTAAAAAGCAGAAACATTAACGAGGAGCGGAAACAATAGAAAAGTAATCAGGAAAACAGAAGATAGCGATTGACATAGCATTTTAACGTTTGACTGGAAAGTATAGAGGCGGACGAGAGTTCCACAAGTGAGAAGTGCGAGAGAAGAAACTGTTAACATAAAACTTACGGTTACATCTAGCCGATTCGACTGTAAACTGGTGATACCTTGTTGGTAATCTAGTACTGCGCTTAAATTCATAAAGTCTTCGTACCAAATAGGAAAGCTCATCAGAAGAATTACCATGAAAGTAATTATAAAAAAAGCGACAGAGAGATAACCTCACGGCGGTGGAAATGTAACTGAAGACGAGCTGCCAGATCAGTATCATTAATATTGCTGATTCTTCTTTGAATTTTATCAAGGATCTTTAAATATATATCAGAAACACCGGGCCATATGTGTCAGCAATATTCTAAGAATGGACGAATGGTAGACATATAGATATCTAAGATAGTTTCTGGAGAGAAAACTGTATAGCATGACACAGCGAACCAACTGACCTCCATTTCATGTCAGCGCGGAATATTATCCCGAGAAGGCGCAAGCCACTCTCCTGGAGGTTAGCATCAGCCATACAGAAAGCAGAAAGTGGTCTCTCAGATGATTAATAGAGAGCAGTTTAGTTTTGGAGGCATTAAAATTAACAAGCCATTTTTTTTGTTCTAGTTAACAAAAAATGGCTTGTTCAACATTACTATGGCAAAGGAGACTTTGATGAACCTGGTGAAATGCTTGTTTCATCTGACAACGAATAATGATTTGTTTTTGCCATTATATGAACGGAAATGAACTTATTTCATTTAATTGCATACAATGAAGTATGCTTCCCTTTCAATTAATTAGCACTTGTGTTAATCTATTTTAACCTTATTTTAAGAGAGAAAGCATTTAAGAATGGGGTCTTAAGTTACTATCTCTATCAAGTACATTTAAAAGTGCATTAGGCTCTTATTTTCGGAACTTAACTCTATCGCAAGTCAGGGC